CAGCTAATAGAACATTTATTATATGTCTCAAGAATGAAGATCATTTTTACATAATATTTTTACATGAACCGAGGAAATTTAAGGAATGTATATAATGTAAAACTGGTGCTATACATCAAGATAACATGTATAATTGAATACAATGTTTGCGAACTCCGCAAGAATCAAAAGTGTGCCCAACTGCGTCGCTAGCCGAATCCTTTTTTGTGGAGATCAATATTTTTCCCGATCTCCGTGAGAGAGAAAGAGTCGAGTGACTTATAGATACATTGTAGTCGCTGCGGAATGCAATTACATCGTCCGCACGGACGCGAGGAATGCGCCGAGAATAAATACGAGTTTTTACAACGTGGAACTGGACCGTAGGCGAGACTGACGGCTCTTGTTCAAACTTTTCGACGATACAACGCTGCATGTTTAAACAGGAAGAGGCGTTTGTTATTCTTCATCTATCTTTCTCTCTCTTTCTCTCTTCCTCGCTCTTCTCCTGCCACATTAATTAAATAGAAATCTTGAGATTATTTATTCACGTTACATTCGTATTGTATCTTTAATTTTTACATTTACTCGCCATATACTACACTTTTTTTACTACATAAATTACTACTAAATTCCAACTTGCTTTTCAATTTTTTTTTTTTACCTAACTCACTGTTTTCCGTCGTCTAACAAATTAATCAACAATTGTCGCTTTAAATGTTTAAACATTTGTAATAATTTATCGTACTATCGTTATTAAAGGTATTATCTCGCCGCGATGGTATCTGAAGCATCCGGCCCGCTGCAATTTTTGTCGGCCACTTGGAAACTGCTTCTTCGGGCGTGAGATACAGATCATCGCGGTCCTCCCGTATCTTGACCTTTCGCCGGCGAAATCGCATCGCGAAACAATGCCGACGCTCGCGCGGGAACAATGCGCGCGCGGATATTCCTAGGTCGCGGCTGACCTCCGATATAAGACTCAGCTGCCACGTCGCTTGGATTCTTGCGAAGACCCCGCGCGAGTAAATGCATCGACCTCGGACGGAGCGGGGCCGCGGCATAAGCACGCGGATAATGCAGGTAAAGGGAAAATTTAGCGGTCCGAGCGTGTGGTGTCTACCGTATCCTTCTGAAAAATGGCCAGGTGTATGCGCTCGCTATAAAAAGATTATATTGTAAAACGACAATAAGACAAAAGTTACAGAAGATAGTATTGTTTCAAAAATTGTTCTACCTGATGTAGTGATGTGTTAAATTAATTGCTACAAAATTAAAGGTATCAAAGGTATCAATCACCAACTCAAAATAAAAAAGGATGTATATAAATTATATACGTTATTTATAATCATATATATAAAAAATTACTCATTGAAAATAATACGTGCAAAATATAATTTTTTATTAGTAAATTTCTATGAAAAAATGTTACGTTTAATACATGTATACATTGTTCAAAATTATAAAATATATTTTATTGCAACTAAGAGTCAATGAAACAATACGTAATATATAATTAAAAAAAAATTGCAAAGACAATTTAATCCAAAAGACATTTGGCTATTATGCTATTATTAATAAGAAATGGTCAAGTATTTTAGTAATAAATTAAAGTATAATACATAATTAAGATACAACACATAAGACATGAGATATTCGTGTAAACAAGATATCCGATGCACAAAAAAACAACAAAGTCAAGACAGTATATAATAATGCCTGAACTGAATTTTTAAATAACAAGCTAATAATTATAAGACGGATATCAATTTAGCGAATTTTGTCCTGTATACATTTTGTTTTGTATAATATATGTTTGACATTAGTATATTATAATTTTAATGTTCTCACATTTTTTTAAATATTTTTACAATAATATTATTACATTTAAAATGATTTGATCGGTCCAGTTTATGAGATTCGATAATTTCAGGCACTTACAACTGACGGGCTCGCATAAAGTTATACAGGCCAATCTCGTCGTTTATGAATCGCTGGCATGTACATTTCGCGACAAATCACTATATTTCTTGATAACACTGAATGCGAGCTTCTTTCGGAAGAGTATCAATTTCGTTAATGGTCCACAATAATTTTTGTGAGATATCAACATCACGAAAGCCGCATTGATATTTAATAGGATATACATCAATGATTTATCTTAAAAAAAAACAAGCGATTTAAAGTTTTAAAAGTTAATGTAATAGACCGAGAATAAGTTCAAACAGCAGAAATCAAAATTTCTCATAACGGGAAAAAGGATAAATTAGTATATTATTATATTTAATATTATATTTATATTATATTTAATTATCGATTTATTAGAGGAAAACTTTAACTCTGATTTCGAGTTGTTACATTGCAAGTCTGTTAAAAATAACGACATGTAGCGGCGACATATTTATCTTGAACTTATATATATATAAATTCATAAAAATAAAAAAGAGATTATTACATATTTAAAAGCTTATCTATCAAATATTATCCGTTATTACTTTTCTGTTCTGCTTAAAATTTTACATTCATTCAGGAAAAGATCGTTTGAAATTTTATGAAATTTTTTTCTCATTTTTTTACGTGAAAGAAGAGCACTGATTTTTTTAAGAATGTCGATTTTATTTACGTTGACATCAATACATAGTTTCAAAAAGACAACATCACAAGAGATACTTTAAATATTTTTTTCTAGAAATTTAAATAATTTCTGTGTTTTAATATATACGAGATATTAATTATACATTTAAATGAGATAAATTATGTGACTAACTCAAAAATTGTTTAAATTTTGTTGAAGTGACAAACTCGTAAACTAACTGACCAAATTTTTGTTTTGTTAAATGGAAACGACTTTAACACGATTTGAATGAATTCTGAAATGAGACATGCTCTCTGGATTTCTTTTTCGCAGAAACAAACGGTAACTGAATGAAAATGAACTCGCGGCGCGTCGGGACGGCGCCAATAAATCCGCACGTGGTTAATCATTGTGGACGACGTTCCGAGCGAAACGTATGATCCATGCTCGCTCCTATCGTGCGTGTTCGAGTGTAAATGCGATCTGAAAGCCCGATGTAACTTAAGTCGCGTTCGGGACATTTTCGATTCGTATCCGGTGTGAAAAACCTGAAGAAGGCGGGGATGTATCCTTGTCTTCGTGAGAGCACGCCACCACGAAGGCCGTCCCACTCGTTCGCAAGGTCGGTTATTCATCCGCGCCCGTTGCACAAGGATTTCGTTAAATGCGCTTTGTATTCCCCGCCAGTCATCGTCGTCATCATCTTCTATCGTAACCCCAGAGAAATACCGGAACGGACGATCGTTCTAAGAATTTCACCACGTCAGACTGGCAACAGTCTCGAGTTCCGAGAGTGTTGCCTTGATTTTCAATCCCGCGTGAATGATTTGAAAAAAAATGTGGGAATCTATCTTTCGATGACTATCATTTTCAAGATTTAAGAAATCCTCTCTTCCTTCGAATCACTTTTGGCAAATGTTATAACGTGATGCATGTAGAAATAAGTGTGAAACATCAAACGTGAACTTGCAACTTCAAATTATTTTTATGCGGAATTATAAGAGCGAGTTGTTAGACGGTATTATAAAGCTACATCTGCGATATCACGTTTGAGAATATATTCACTATCAGAAAATAAAAATTACGAATTTTAGTGCCAAAAATGACTCATGGCGAAAGTAGATATTAAATTATTGGTTACTCCATCATTTGGTCAAGATGAAATCTCTCTTTGACTCACTCCATCGTTCATTTTTGTGCATTTGTTTCAAAATACATGTATTTCATAAGATTTATTAAATATTGTGCTAGATTATTAAGTATTGACCTTCATCGAGTGTTTCGAGATATTTCTTTTGTTTCGAAAATTTAATACTGTTGTTTTTCCAAAAATTGTTAATCTGGATATTAAACATCTTGTTAATTAAGCCTTAAATTTAATGATAATTATAATTTCATGTATAAAAGATTATATATATATGATCATATATCAACAATACTGAAGAGAAGCACCGACGATACGGTTCTTAAGGGCACGTGGGCTGTATTTCCAGAATGTCGCTTGACTACAACCGACAGTTTTACTTGCGACCTTCAGTTTGCGGTAACGAGCACTACATGACTAATTAACGTGCTTTAATACACCATTCTTTTTGCAAGCTCGTAAAACCCACAGCGAGATATCCGCAAATCCGGGACGTAAGTCTAATGTACGTAAGTTTACATTAATATTTATGAATTACTCCGCGAGCATTAATTATTATTGCATCTTCTCCGGCTGACCTGACGACAGACAGACTCGCGTACGTCCAATCGCAAAAGAATATAAACATTTCCTTTTTTCGATCAATAAAGACTTTATTCATAATCTCGTAAGTAATCCTGAGGGGATTTTTTTGTATTTTTATGTATTAAATGAATTTTTTTAATTATCAGAATTTTATACCAGAAAGATTCATTAAAAGTAATGAAAGCATAATAATAACGTTTATATGTATATATAATTGTTAGTTTTGTATATTTAACGATTTTAAATTTCAAAGGGATCCTTACATACATGTTTCAGTGCGATTTGTAATTATGTATGTTATTTTTTGCTACTTCAGAAACAGCAAGATTAAGCACCTGAATCAGACTCGAAGGAGTCACGGCTCAAAATTTCTCGCTTTATAGGAAAACCTTATATTAAAAAAAAAAAAATACTCTAATAAATCTCTAATAAAAATATATATCCTATAAAGAGATATATTGTTGGAAAGCCCTGGAGCATTAATATATGTATTTTTTATATTCCTCTGTTCTATTCGTGGTCTCCAGGTATTCGAGCATTAACATAATCCGAGTCGGCCGGGATGAATCGGAGCATCGGAGGGAGCGTCGCGGCGCGGCGCGGCGCGGCACGGAGATTGAGAATCGCGCGTTAGAGAGAGGGTAGAGCGGGCCCCTCGCGAAGGAAGGAAGGAGGGGGAGGCGCTGATAGAGGCGATCGGCTCTCTCAGATCAGCTGTGAGAGCGGCGTGGCGCCGTGTGCCGCGGCTCTGACCCGCTGTCAGTTGCCCGAGCCCTGTGCTACGGTTAGGACCGCGCATAATCGTCACCTTTTACACGAGGACGCGTCGAATTAGCCACTGGCCCCTCGCGCCGTATCGTCCTCGGCAGCAAGCTCGTCCTTCACGTGCCCGTTACGAGATTCGCGATCGGGCGAAATCATCGATGGTAATCGGCATCCGCGAGAGGCGAAAGGCCAGCGATCGCGCAGGGAGCAGCGATCGAGAGCGAGTGTGACCGATCGTAATCCGACCTCCGATCGGACCTCCGATCGCAAGAGAGATAGCTTAACGTGTCATTAAGTCCTTAGTAATCGTTGATTATTACGGGCTGTCGGCCTAATTTTCGAGCGAGCGTGTCCTCTCGTCGGAGGAATCACGAGTCGCGGAGAAGGGCGGTTCGACTTAAGGGCGGACGTGATTGGTGATCCCTCTTCTTTTTTCATCTCTTTCTCTTCTTTTGTGACGTGAAGAAGTGAACATCGGGCTTCGATTTCCGAGGAAACCCCGCGGGTGGCGCGAACCCGAGGAGCTGTGAGCTGACGGCGCGTCCAGGATGATCTGGTAGAGGAGAGCGGGCAACCCCCTCGTTCGAGAGCGAGAAATGGCGTGCGGCATATCGGTCGACGCGACCGCCACGAGCACGGTGCTTCTTCTGCTGGTAAGCCCCCGCGTATTGCTATTTTACGAGCGATCGTACCCCGAGAGGTCGATAACGCGCTAACACGAGGGCGTAGTCGATCCGGACCGGCGATGGTGATAGGAGCCAGAGTCTGCTGTCGTATGTTACGAACTCCTGTTGTTATTTAAAGTACCCCGATTTTACGAGGCTCGACGATCGTGTAAAATAGATTTTTTTTTTTAAATTAGAAAATACAGATCGCTTTAGCGTGATCGGCGTGACCCTACGAGATACGAGATGAGATTAAAAGCAATGAAGTCAAATGTAAGGAAATGTCTGTTATTTCGTTTAGCAAAGAAATATTTAATATTAAAAATAATTACGGGTTGGCGAACGCCCGCACTGTGTCCCGGCTCTCGCGAAATCTCGGTGTATGTACCTTCATATGCAGAGTATGGCATTCACACACGGCGCGTGCAACGTGTCGACTTGTAGACGTGGCTGGAGTCAAGGATAACGTCGTTATCTAAGCCCGTGCCCGCTATACTTACATCGAGTATACCTGGCAGGATACATGGTAGATACACAATAAACGTCGCGGGCGAATGCTACTTTCGTTATATGCGGAATGTTAACTTATGGTGGTTCCTGCAAATAATCATGCGCCTTTCCTTGTATAATGCAACGTAAGATGAGATCAATGCAAAAATTTCGTGAGCCGTTTTATAAGCGAGAGAGAAAAAAAAGGAGGGGAAAGAGAGAGAGAGAGAGAGAGAGAGAGAGAGAGAGAGAGAGAGAGAGAGAGAGAGAGAGAGAGAGAGAGAGAGAATA